CTATAGTAAGGCATGTTTTGGGCATTTTTCATCAAATTTGTTTTGGTTTTTAACAAAAATGACACAAAAAATTCACAATTTAAAAATTTTCTCTAAATGCCCTAATTTTATGAGAAACATGCAAGAAAAGATAACATTTTTAAAAATAATTTTTCAAACATTTTTCATCAAAATTGTATAGTTTTTGAACATAAATGACACATAAATTCACATTTTGACACAAAACTTTAAATAAAAATACTTCCAAAAATATTCTCTAAATGCCCTAAATTAATGAAAAACATGCAAGAAAAGATAATATTTTGAAAAATAAATTTTCAAACATTTTTCCATCAAAATTGTTTAGTTTTTGAACAAAAATAACATGACAAATTCATATTTTGACAGAAAGCTTCACACAAAAATATTTGTAAAAATGTTCTCTTAATGCTCTAATTTTATGAGAAACATGCAAGAAAAGATAATATTTTGAAAAATAAATTTTCAAACATTTTTCCATCAAAAGTGGTTAGTTTTTGAACAAAAATAGCATGACAAATTCACATTTTGACACAAAACTTTAAATAAAAATACTTCCAAAAATATTCTCTAAATGCCCTAAATTAATGAAAAACATGCAAGAAAAGATAACATTTTTAAAAATAAATTTAGAAATATTTTCTTCAATTTTTTTAGTTTTTGACCAAAAATGACACAAAACATTCACATTTTTAGAAAAAGATTTAAACATAAAAATTACACAAAAAAATCACATTTTGACAAAAAAGTTTAAACAGAAATATTTCTAAAAATGTTCTCTAAATGCCCTTATTTTATGAGAAACATGCAAGAAAAGATAACATTTTTTAAAAATAATTTTAGAAATATTTTCTTAAATTTTTGTAGTTTTTGACCAAAAATGACATGAAGAATTCACATTTTGACAGAAAGCTTTATACAAAAATATTTCTAAAAATGTTCTCTAAGTGCCCTAATTTTATGAGAAACATGCAGGAAAAGATAACATTTAAAAATAAAAATATTAGGGTTGGGGTTAGGGTTAGGATTTGGGTTAGTCTTGGGGTTAGGGTTAGTGTTAGGGTTAGGGTTAACATGAAAAATGCACATTTTGACAGAACACTTTATACAAAGATATTTCTAAAAATGTTTTCTAAATGCCCTAATTTTATGAGAAACATGCAGGAAAAGATAACATTTAAAAATAAAAATATTAGGGTTGGGGTTAGGGTTAGGATTTGGGTTAGTCTTGGGGTTAGGGTTAGTGTTAGGGTTAGGGTTAACATGAAAAATGCACATTTTGACAGAACACTTTATACAAAGATATTTCTAAAAATGTTTTCTAAATGCCCTAATTTTATGAGAAACATGCAAGAAAATATAATATTTTTAGAAATAATTATTCAAACATTTTTCATCAAACTTGTTTAGTTTCTGAACAAAAATTACACAAAAAAATCACATTTTGACAAAAAAGTTTAAACAGAAATATTTCTAAAAATGTTCTCTAAATGCCCTTATTTTATGAGAAACATGCAAGAAAATATAATATTTTTAGAAATAATTATTCAAACATTTTTCATCAAACTTGTTTAGTTTCTGAACAAAAATTACACAAAAAAATCACATTTTGACAAAAAAGTTTAAACAGAAATATTTCTAAAAATGTTCTCTAAATGCCCTTATTTTATGAGAAACATGCAAGAAAATATAATATTTTTAGAAATAATTATTCAAACATTTTTCATCAAACTTGTTTAGTTTCTGAACAAAAATTACACAAAAAAATCACATTTTGACAAAAAAGTTTAAACAGAAATATTTCTAAAAATGTTCTCTAAGTGCACTAATTTTATGAGAAACATGCAAGAAAATATAATATTTTTAGAAATAATTATTCAAACATTTTTCATCAAACTTGTTTAGTTTCTGAACAAAAATTACACAAAAAAATCACATTTTGACAAAAAAGTTTAAACAGAAATATTTCTAAAAATGTTCTCTAAGTGCCCTAAGTTTATGAGAAACATGCAAGAAAAGATAACATTTTTAAAATTAATTTTTCAAAGATTTTTCATTACAATTGTTTAGTTTTTGACCAAAAATGACATAAAAAATTCACATTTTTACAATTTGTCCAACATGACATGCCAAAATTAGGATTTTGCTGAAAAATTCTAAAAAAAAATGTTTTTCCAAATTCTTATGGAAAAAAAAACTTAATGAATAGGTCCTTAAAACTAAAGTTTTGACCCTAAATTTGTTAAATTGCGCCCAGTAAATAGAAAAGAAAATATATTATACAATACAAATTTCTAAGATTTCAACAATGCCTCGGCTCTCCCCCCAAAAATACTTTTTTAACAACTTGATGCATTTTGCTCCAAGTGACGCCACAACATTCAATCCTGGTGTCGCCGTACGCTGTGTAGCACATGGGTCAACAAAGGTCACAGTACAGTATTTTTACTTGGCTGTAATGAGATTGAGACACAGAGAAACCATGAAATAAATTTACACTTTATTTCATAAAACATTTGGTTTTTAAAAAGCATTGTGCTGCTGTGACGTCGTGATATTTCTTTTTCCACACTTTTACAGAAGGCAAAAAAGAATTTAATATTCAGGTATCGCAGTACTTGTTGTAGGGGAGTAAAGAGGGAGGAGAGAGAGGTGACGTTGAAAGGAAAGGTGAGAAGGATTAGTGGGTGTGTCTTTGTCTGTGGCTCTTTCACATTCTCTCAGGGCTCATATAAACCCTGCTCAACCTGTTGTTGTCACTGCACCTGTACCAGACACACACACTGTCACAGTGATACTGCGTGTGTTCAGTATGTTATATATGATACTGTTCAAGGTGATACTAGGAGTTAGTACAACTACGTCTGTCCTGCCCGGAATATTCCTCAGCTGATCTTCACCTGTGGACTGGGAGTTTCCTCATACCTTCCAGTCCTGGACTTTAACCTGATCGGACCATTGTTTTTTTTCTTTCCCTGTTTGTACTTTGCTGCTGTTTTGACTGTGTACATGCATCACTGCAAGTCATTCTGTGTCACCTTTTAAGCTCGTCTCACATCTACAAACACTGTCGCATTGATTTTCTTTTTCTTGAATTTTTTTTTGTGGTCGTTTTTGTGGTCATTCAGACTTGAAAAACATTAAAAGCCCGTGAAACATCGATTCAGACTTGAAAAACATTAAAAGCCCCGCGAAACTTCCGATTCAAGACTCAGGATGATGGAGGAGGTGTCCACCATGATGGCCTATGATGCCGATCTTATGGAACAGATGAGCGAAGAGGAGATCCTGGCCTGTCTGGTCTCTGAAACAGGACCAACTTTCACGGTAAGAACCCCCACTCTGGGATTTGAGTCGATATTTGACCCAAAACATTTAGTTCAGCACGAGTCAGACCCCCCCCCCACACACACACACACACACACACACACACACACAACAGCTCTATGATCAGAGTTTTGTAAATCACCCAGAAAGACAGTGTGTTCTGTTCTGTGTAATTACTGACTAATGACGCACAGAGAAAAATATGGGCTGGACAAACTGTGGGCCACACCACGTACCTAATTCTTTTTTATGTTCTTCTGGCCCTGACCTAAACAAATAACAAACAAGCAATGACTTAAAGATTAATTTAATTTTTTGTTTATTTATTTTTTAAATGTTATTTAATTTAACTTAATTCTAATAATTGTTTTATTTTATTTTCCCTGTGGGCCAGAAATTCATTTGCATAAAAAATTGGTTACTCACAGTACACTTGACCTCATTTGGTAAGCATTTGTGGGAGCCTGGTTACGTGACAGATGTAGCCCATATGTGGTGTCCAAACTCTGGGCCACACAATTCAACATGGTGGGTGTTTTAATGGGAAACTTCCAAATTCTGGATGTCAGCTGTGGTCCACTAAGAGGCCAGGGGTCATGACCTACATTTGGTTTTATTCTTATTGGACGTGGGCCACTTAGACTTGGATGTCATTGTTAAATAAAAGTCAAGTTTATTCCATAGTATTTTATAATATATCCTGAGGTTTGGCAGAGAAGGTTTTTTTTTTACCCAGAGTGTGGGCCAGAATGTGGGCCAAACACCAAATGTGACCATGTTCCAGCTCTTTTTTTTTATCCCACCTTCATCCTCATCTCGGTCTGAGGTTGGACTGGCTCTTCTTCAGGTGGTGGATCTGTCTGAAGGAGATAACTGTCTTCATTTCTGCCAACACTCGACTGTTGTTGACACCCAGACTTTTTTTCTCTCAGGTGCCATCAAAGAAAGCCAAGCTGAAGGAGAGTCGGCTCCAGATAATGGACGGTGAGGGCAAAGATGAAGACCCTGTGGACAAATACCTGGTCAGAGAGCTTCTGTGGACTAGGGTTAGGTCGTGTCGTGTCGTGTGCATCACAGTACCTTGGTCTAACAGATAAATTGTTTTTCAGAGGGAAAACCTTCGTCTCCAGCAGACCAGTCTCCGCCTTGAGCAGGAAAATGACAACCTGGCTCACAGACTCATCTCCAGCAAAGTGGCTCTGAGGAACGCTCTGGACACGGTACACCTCCATCAGAACTTCACACTGAAGATGTAGAAATATTCTTCGTGGAAAAAAGGTTGATTTTTCTCCTCCTGTTGTTAATGTGTCTTCAGGCAGAGGACAGAGTAGATGAACTCTGTAAAGACCTGGCCCAGACCAGACATCGACTGGAGGCCACGGAGGAAGTGATGAGACACAAGGAGGAGGAGACTGCAATGGTACGAACACGGACACTACACCTTTAGCTTCAGCTTTTTACTTATTTTGATACTCAGTAGTGTTCACGACCTTGGTGGTACGTGGGGCATCGAATAGACACAAAACTCAGCCTCCTCTTTGCTACAAAATCAGCTCTTCTTCTTTGGGTTTTAAAGGCAACTTTAGATCCTTTGCTGTGGGTTACTGCCCCCTACTGGATATATTTTAATGGGTGTAAACACCTGCAGACCCACGAGTGTTGATTTTTATTTTATTAAATTCTTCTTTCACAGTTGAAAGAAGTGTTTCGGAAGGAGCTGGAAAAAACAGAGCAGGACCTGAAACGGTCATCAGGCATCATCACCGACTACAAACAGGTACAGACTCTGACTAACGGATTTCTAAAAAAGCCTTTTGATAAAGGCTTTCATGATTAACAATGCTAACATCAGACGTTCGTTCCTCTCAGATCTGCTCCCAGCTGACAAACCGTCTGGAGGAGCAGCAGAGCTCCCACAGAGAGGAGCTGGACTCCATCAGGGTGAAGATTCACGCTTTTCATCTTCTCTGTCGTTAAACGATTGTCACGACACTAAACCCTCTCATTAAATAGCATTTATTAGAGTAGGTGTAACATTCAGGGGAGAGACTGATTTTAATGATATTATCTTTTTTTTTACAGAATACAGTGAAGGTCTGCTCTCACTGTCAGCACGTTTTAGCCACCGCTGAATCATCGATCATCGGAGGTCGAACAACATCAGCAGACGCCGAGACACACGGTCAGAGGACGACAGAAAGAGACGTGCCTGAAGGAAGTGAAGCTCAGAACGAAGCAGAGCAGAAGAAGGAGGAGCAGGAGAACGATTCCCTGAAGGATCACATCAGGGAACTAGAGAAGGAGCTGGCCCAGACCAAACTTCAGTTGGTGGAGTCTAAGTGTAAAATCCAGGTAAACGGTAGAACAAATACTACTGCACGTACTACTATAGGATCAGGGAATGTCTTTGAGATGTTTCAAATCAGCCAAGAGAAAAACAAAAGGTCAAAAAGATGATGTCAATCCATCAGTGATCCAAAGTTGTTCTTGAACTTTAAAATAATAATAATAATAATAATGTTATATATATTAGCCACTCTGATAATAGGAGGCAGCAGAAAAATAGTTTTGGCTTGAAATAGATAATAGGAGGCAGCAGAAAAATAGTTAAATTTTGGTTTGAAATGAAATAGAAAACAAATTAAATGTAGCTTCCACCTAGATTATAAAAATGAAATAACGAAAGAAATTAACAATAAATATATAAAAAATAAATAATAATAAATAAACCAAAAAACAATAAATAATAAATAACTAAAAAGTGGTTTGAAGAAAGGAATTAGCTCAAAGGCTAACAAAAGGCGGGCTGTCTACAGTAGCAACAAGTGTATCAAACGTGGTAAGATAGAATTTGTTAAGAAACAGGCACAAAAAGGTAAAATGTGCGTTAATACATAGCTAAAAGTAAAACCTGAAAATTCTAAATGTTCGTAGAAAAAATAAATATATATATAATATATAAATTAGCTAAATTAGCACAGAAATGAACACCCTCACTCGCTTATTTTAAATATGTTTTGTTTTAAAAAAGAAAATATTTGGCCATACCTCTTTGAGTGCCCGAAAGAAACCAAGAGCCAGATTTTGGACACACCAGATGAGCAGATGAATGTAACATTTATTCAGAGACACTTCAGCTTCCAGCAGCAGGTCGGAGAGAATCCTGTAGTTTCCACGGCTTCGCTGTGATGAAGAACAATCACATTTGACAGCAGTGAACGTGACAAAGAAGATTACGGCTGTGAGACAGAGCAGGAACTAATTCATGTGGAAACAAAGGCAGAAAAAAGTGAAAGAAACGCTTTCCCTTCTCTAAACTCTCTGGACCAGAGCCTCTTCTATAATCTGACCTAATCCCAGTTTTAATCCTAAACCCAAATCCATGAATTATCCACTACAATCCCCTCGGAAAGTGACAAACACAGACAATTAACTCACTCTGAATATTTGTTATAATTGGACAGAATAAAATTAACAGAAACCTATGTGTATACATTTATAGCTACAGAACGAGGAGAAATAAATCATATTTAAAACATACAGAAAATAGTCTAGAAATAGCAAAAAAAATTCAAAGGTCAAAGAAAGAAAAAAAGGAACAAAAATAGCTGTATGTAATAAAACTAAGACAGAAATCTAATAAAACTAATCTCGACTGTAAAAAAAAATTATAAAAATGTTTTAAAAAATTATTAACATTTTTTAATTAGCTACATAGAAGCTTGTATTGTTTGTTTGTTTAGATGGCAGGTCAGCAACATTTTGGGAAACCAATGGCCGCACAGTTTAATGTCTCACTTTTTCAAATTCCCATGTTAGGAGCTGCAGCATCAGCAAGGAATGATGGCCAACCAGCTCCAGGAAACTAAAAACAGCTGGATTAACAAGGCTTTCACCTCCCTGAGAACCTCCAACGGGGGACTCCAAGCTCTCAGCCTACCCAGAGATGGAGCTCCTTCACTGGGATGGAACCTCCACGGAGGCTCCCTGTCTGAAAAGATGCTTTCATGGCGCCTGGGAGAAAACAGAGTCACTCATAGCTTGGACATCAAACCATCAGACTCCTGAAACAAGATGTATAGAAATCTATAGCTGCTATAAATCACTATGAACACTAGAGGGTGGCAAGAAGCTCGCGTAAACGCAAAAAGACTTGTATTTATCACTGTATTGGATGCATTACAGCTACTGTATATGTGCCATATGAAACACTTTGTATATAAACCATAAAAATACAGTATTTACTAAAACAACTAAACAAGTGAAACCATGTATTTTCCTACTGGTGACATAAGAAAACCCCAGGCTGTGACGCCCCTTTCGCTCTTCCTCTTTAAGCACACATTTAAAGGCGACTAACTGCGGCTTAGAATCAGAGAGAAGGAGAAGAAGGAGAAACCACAGACAGCGGTGTCTTATCGCTGAACTTTGACTAGGAGATCGTAACCAGCGGAAACAGCAGTTACGGCGGCTGTTCAACACAGCTTCAACTGGATTTGACTTCTCTGTTTTTTTTTAACACATAAACGGAGTCATGTCTGCGCTGCTCTCAACCGTCAGCCTCCTCCTGTGTCTCCAGGGAGTTCCAGCTCTGGATCTGTTCAGAGTGACTAGAACCCCTGCTGGTAAGTACTGGTAATCAAACTGGACTAATTAACTCTTACACCTTTTCTGGGAGCGAATATTTTAGGCACATTTAAGATTCCTAAAAATGAAAGTTACAAGAATCAAGTCGTGTGTTTATCATATTATAGATCAGAATGATGAGGAAATTCATGCAGAATATTACCTGAATGGAGTTCATTTTAAAACTAAATAAAAAAATAAGAAAAACAAATACTGTAGGACAGAGTATTTTGGCCACAAAGTGAAAATATATATATAATTAGAAAAATTAGAAAAATCAAATCATAGGTTTATAATAATAATAAAGGTCTGAATTAATGGGGAAAAAAATCAATGTCAATGAATCAAAAGCCGAAAGGTTTACCAGTAAAATTCTCATATTTACTATTAGAAAAAAAACAACGTTATTTATACGGAAAAAAGCTATGATGAACAGAATGAAGAGCAGAATGAATAAAATGCAACGTTACTTGCAAAAGGTCATCAAAACATAGTCAAGAAAACTGTGAAATTAGCTGAACAGAATATAAAAACAATCATTAAATGGGCTAAGGTTAGCTAATAGCTAGCCAAAGCTAAAATATGCAACTACAACTACAAGTTAGCCTATTTAACTATATGTTTTCATTCCATCTTTTTACAAAAAAAAATTTAAAAACCTTCTACAAAAATAAAGTCATCAGTTTATAAAAATACAGTCCAAAATACTAAGAATATTAAGTCAAAAATCTTTTCAAATTTCTTATTTACAACAATTAAGCCATAAATTTATGATAATAGTCAAAGTCAACTTTATTGTCTAATAAAATATAGAATATAGGGTAAAATAAAAGTATTTGTTTAATTTTATGGCTACGTACCACGTACAGTTGATGTAGAACATTGGTTATTATTTCAGATGCTCCCATCATTCCCAGAGTGCACTGCTGGTGTAACAGTTATCCCGACACGACTCTCTGCTCCTGGCCTGAAACTTCACATGAACCTCATACGCATTACATCACCACCTACAGGTACATCTTACAAAAAGAATCAACTCTTTTTCTGCTGTGTTCTAAACCCTAAACACTGGGAAAAAAACAAATTTTGATTAGCTTGGAGTCATGTGACAGTTTCCTGGTCTTGTGAAGCTCATTTACACGTGTGTGTTTGTCAGAGAGCGACACGGTCATCCCATGACCAACAACTGCCTCGTCATCCCACCCACACCTCGATCTCCATCTTCTGGTTCCTCATCCTCATCTGATCAGGTATACGTCCTACCAACTCAATTAGAAAAAGAACATTTAGGTATTATATTATTAATAATTTAGACTCATTTTATCATTTATGCCAACTTTAGGTGTTTCTGGGATGTTTATTTTAATATATCAAAAATGTAGGGTAATTATGTCTTGACTTAATTTCCTTAGAGTCCTCATTAAATGAATACTAATTATTCCTCTATGATTGTTGCTAATGTTTAGCAAAAAGCTTGCACTGCTTTGCAATCTTTTACCTTATGTTGGCCGACCATCTTTAAAAAGAAGAAAGAAATTTATATTGACGTCCGATCACGGGCCAGATGTGAGAGTTTTGTGGCCGAGAAGTGGCCCATGGGCCAGAAATTTGACACCCCTGGTCTTGGGTATCATACAACTTCTTTTGTTTATTATTATTTGTATGTTTTTAACAGTTAAAGGTTAGCTACGTGAGCCATTGTTTTGCCATATTGAATGGAACGCAGACTAAATTTGGAGACATATTTTAGCTCATTTTGTTTACTTTCTGACTGTCCTGTCAGCCTCCGTGGGCTTCTACGTTGTTTTACCTGTTTCCTCCTAGAGAGGTTAGAAAAAAACACATTTTCAGTCGTGGAGGGATTTTCCGTACAGTTAACACAGTAACATATTGGAAGAAATGAAACCAGTCACATGAAGCAAGAACAAATTTCCAACCACAGTGTCTTAGATTCTGGGAAAACCCCTCTGTCTCGTTTGTAGTTTTGTTTGAGCGGCTAAAAGTGGTTAAACTGCATGATTTCCTTTGAATAAAATAAATTAAAACATTATTGAACATTATGTGGCATAGCAATATATATATCTATATTTATTCAAATTCATGTTCGAGTCCTTGTATCCACTCGATGCTCACTCTGAGTCTGAATCTGCTGAAGAGATTTTTTTCATGTAAAACAGGACTTTTTTTTTTCCCACTGTCTCCAAAGTTCTGCTTGGTGTGTGATCTATTTTGGTTGGCTAAGCTAACTGTTGAACAATCCTTGCTCTCCCCTGTTTTGTGTTTGTATGGAATGTTTGATATATATAATATATAAACATATGTCCCTGTTTCAGGAATGGCTGTGCCAACTGTCTGACCTGAAGCTCTTCACAGACTACATCATCAACGTCACCGCTGTGTCACCTGCTGGGAGCAGCTCCTTCCTGTCAGGATTAATGATGGAGGACATCGGTGAGAACTGAAATTATAATGAGAAAATAAAAAAAAACAAATGTAGGATCCGACCACAACTGAACAGCAGCTTCACATTATTGGTTACATTTAAGAAGAGAAGGCAAGGGTGTGAGAAGAGGAAGTGAAGTGACGTCACCTTTTGTTTTTTATGATTCTGCAGTGAAACCAGACCCTCCTGTGGACGTGCGGGTTTCCCTTCAGAACAAGAGGCACCTGTTGGTGGAATGGTCTCCTCCGTCCAGTTGGAGAGACCTGGAGATCTTCCCTCTGAAATACCACATCCGGTACCAGTGGGAAAACAGAGGCTCCCCCAAATCAGTCAACGTGAGTTTGCTCAGATTAATCAGATTAATATTACAGATTAATTAACAACTAACATGAATTACCCTTGAATTTCTTTAACACAGGATCAATTTATGTATAATGAATATTGAATGTTGTGTTTCCTGCAGCTGGGTCCGTTTGAAAGCACCAGTGTGGAACTGAAAGGCCTGAGTCCAGGCAGACAGTACCAGCTCCAGGTCTGTTCTAGAGAACTGATGGGTCTGGGATCCTGCAGCGACTGGAGCTCACCTGTTTATATCACTGTTCCCCGGACTAACCTGTAGACACCGGGCCGTCTCACCTCTGCTGTCAAGTTACTGAGCCACCGCTGCCTTTAATGCACAAACAATGCTGATGTTGTATTTATAAAATTAATATTTATTTATTGCAATGCTGCTGTCTTTGAGGAAAAAAAAATCTAAAAATCAAATAAAAACAATTCATTCAACATCAACGGACATTTCCTCTCAATTTCTGTCAATCAACTACATCCACCACTAGTGGAGTAACGAACTCAGAGTGCCGGATGCCCATGGTGAAAGATGGAGGTTTGGGAAGATGCAGATGATACTTCTCCGGCCTGTAGGCCCCCGGGCCGGGAATAGTGAGGGAATAACTCGGCCTTTTGGAGCGGCCCTGCATGGAGAAGGACGGCTGACGCCGGTGGTAAATGTCTGGGTTGGTGCTACTGTATTTTGCGGGTCCGGGGCTCATGGCAAGATCCTCAGTGGGATCTCCGACCTTCCTGCGCCCTGAGAAGCTGAAGCTGGCACTGGAGGCTTTGGTAGGAACCTGGCAGCCCAGGAGGTTAGGGAGGCTGTAGCTGTCAGAGAGAGGAGAACACAGTCTGAGCTTCAGGATGGAGACGTTTTATATTAGCAAAAAAAAAAAACATCATTTCAAAGAAAAGCTGAAAAGGTCGTGAATTAGCATTTCTCAATACCACCATTTTGGTTTAAACCATTGAGTTTGAAAAGAGGGCATCGACCATAACTGGTCTTTCCCAACACTTTGTCTATTTATTAAAAAAAAAAACACCTGACTAAATGTTGACCCTAATATTGTTTAAAAACTGCCAAGATTATAGCAGGCTAAGCTAATAGTGGCTAGGAAAATATTTAAGTTACTAAATAACTTTGGACAGGAATGGCTTAATTAGTTATTATTATAAATTTTGCAAATAATAGTTTAACAAAAGATAAGAAAAATAAAGAATTTTAGCTAAAGGTTAGCTGCATAATAAAAATATGTAGTCAACATAGCATTAATATTTAAATTAGATGCAGTTTAAAGTTTGTTTAAAAAATATAAAAAATATCATTTAAACCTAGCAAAACATTCTCACAATGTGACTCTTTAGACATAAGGCAACATGAAATAAAAATTTTTTAAAAAAGTTGTCAATCTAAATGAACACATTCATCAATAAAGGAAAGATTCCAAGAGCCAACTTTTCTGAAAAAGGATAGTTAAAAAATTTGCTACATTTAAAGCAATAAAAACTTTTTTTAAAATATAAAGATGATATTTAACCCATATAGGCTGATATATACAGGAGAATGTGCAAAAAAGCTTGGCAAAATTATAGTTATAATTATAAATTATTATGACCAAAACAAAGTATCAAACTGTGGTCAGAAGTCAGGGAAGAAAGAGCCTTTTTATTTTAAAAATACTTATTTTTATCTGAGATAAAATGAAAATAATACAGACTTGAAATTCATCAGAATGAAACTTATTAAAAGGTGAATTTAGAAAATGGTTAAATTGAAATAGTCTCATGTTTAGCACAAAAAAGTGCTAAAAGGAAAATTGTTAAAGCCAATAATGTCCAAAAAAACCCCTCAGAACTGGACTTAAATGTAATAAAAACCTGTTTGGTGCTGGAACTGCATCTGAAGATCGGTATCTGGTCCTGGAGCCCATGGAGTAGGACGGAGCTCTGACGTGGTTGTTTAGAGGTGGAGCCTTTTCTGGACTGTAGGCTCCAGGACCTGGAGTCTGGAACAACTCACCTGAGAAGATACAGCTACAGGTTTGACCAATCGTATTCAACCACAAGTAACTGAAGGGGTGAAACTCTGTGTCAGCATCAACAACACCAAAACGTCTTCTTCTAAAAAATAATTTAAATATATATATATATGTATAGATGTATACATATATAGATCACCTTTACTTCCTGAGCGACCAGTTCTACCCAGGATAGAGTAGGATGGTGTCTTTATTTGCCCAAACCGGGTTACACTGGCTCCGACGTGGTACCGTGGTCCTGGACTGGAGTCTGCAGAACTAAGAGCTACAAATACACAAGTTTTGATTTTTTCCCGTATTTTTCAAGAAAAATAAAATCACAAACAGCCGTAAAAAGCCAAATAATTTGGGGATCTTCTCTGCAGTAATATATTTTAAAAGCCATTAAGCTAAGTAAGCTAATTTACAGACACTTTTAGACCATTTTAGCTGCTATTGTTACATGTTCGACAACATGATGAATTTGTTTTTATTGTTACATGATGTGGCAAGATATGTTTGATATAAAGTTCTTTCAGCTAATTTCTGACTCTTTTTTTTCTTTGACATCCCAAAAATTAATTTCCATTTTTTCAATTTATTATATTAGAAACAAAAATAAACCATTTCACTTCATAGTTTTATTTTAACAATTTCTTAAAAATATTTTAAGAAATTGTATAATGTGTGTAATGTAGTAAGTGTAAAATAAAAACTCTGAATAAATAACTTTGAAGATCAAATCCAGATATTTTCAAGATAAATACTAGTATCTAAAAATGTTTTAACTTTTTTTTTAACAGAACAGAACAACACAATTTCCTAAAGATAAAAACTGACTTCTGTTGCGGCTGTGCAGGGTGTACGCCGGGCTGCTGGGTTTGGTGAAGTCATGGTTGATGTATCCAACAGTAGGGGGCAGAGCATAACGGGCAGGACCTGGGCCTGACAGAGGAGGAGGGTGAAGAGTTAGAAGAAGAGGAGGGGGAGAGGGATGAAAATGATGCAACAGTTTCAGTTCCTATCAGCTTCGCACTCTCTCTACGTGTTTCTCTGGCCGTGGCCACGTTCTCGCTGATGATTTCCACATGCAGCTCTTTGACTGATTTTCTATGGTCATGCATTTTAACGTCTTTCCTTTGCTTGTTTGAGAAAAACTCCAAACAAGGCCAGAAATCTCAGGAAAAAAATGTGGAACAACGTCACTTAAAAGTTGTAAAAACCTTCACCGCAAAAGAGGCAACTTCCTACATGGGTACTTACGCAACCACAAAAACATATACATACATATATACTGTATTTATACATAAGTATATAGAGAAATGTTGTCTTGTATCTCAGAAAAAATATTTGTGTGGGGATTTAGACATTCAATATTACTGGTACTGCAGCCCACAGGTGGCAGTAGTGCACCTAAAGTACAGATGCCGGCCAGGAGACAATGCACAGGACATGAGGCTTTATGACATGGTCTCTACTTTGGCAAGAAAAGTAAATCCTATGAAAAGAAAAAAAAAAAGAAAAGAAAATTGAAATCCTTATTTGGTTGTGAGAGTCTGTGCCACCCACGCAGCTACCACAGGAGCCCCCATTAAATATGTGTTTCCTCTGGGGCTCGAACCCAGGACCTTCTGCGTGTAAGGCAGATGTGTGAGGCAGGTGTGGCAAGTGCTACATTACGGAAACAAAAACAATGTAGCACAATAAACAACTAGAGAGCATTAAAGAAGGTATCACATTGGTGTCTGTATCAGCAGATACTCCAGGTTGTAGTACTAGGTTGTAGTTGTAGTACTACAGTGTGGGCATCAGTCATGGAAACGTGGTAGAACTCTGTGTCAGGCCTTGTACCTATGATACATGCAGCTGACATGTCACGGCGGACTGGTCAACGGTCATCCTGAGACTTTGGCCATTATTGGACCAATCATGTTGGACCATCTATTTTGTACCTGTACAGTATACACTATAATACACTTTACTTGTCAACACTTAGTAACAAACACCGTCCTTATTATAAATGTCATCAAAGGTTCAATGATAACCCTGCCAAAGCTGCTGGAGACCCCCCCCCCCTCTCCCCCCCATCTTAACACCTCCCACCTACTAACATCACACTCCTAAAACCATAACGTCCGTCTGACATCTTTTGGACTCACCCTCCTACAAACAGAGTGATGGACTGACCTCGTTCCCTGGCAGAGATTATGGGCCGTTTCTTCACCGCCACCTCCTCCATAACCTCCTTCTCCTCCTCTCTGCTCCCTCTGTGACTCTTCCACTCATCCTTCCCTGGTGTTTCTGTCTCCAGGGGATCAGCGTCTTCTCAGGATGAATTATACATGACCAGGAGGTGAAGAAACCTTAGATTGACACAGGCATGTGGTGAAACCACAGACTCCACCTTCAGGACGACCAACAACCACCGCACAGCCCCGGAGCCCACCGCAGCTCCTGGGTAAGTCAGTCAGGGTCCACAGTGGGAGAATATCACAGGTTACATTTTGACAGTAAAACAATTAGAAACTAATGATTTGTTACATCCAATAAACAGGTTTCCAATGCTTTCGTATTTGTTCTAGCACATTCTTCGTAGCTATCCTTTGGCTGTCAATCAGCCCTTCCTAGTTTACAATGTGTTTTTGCTTATTTTAACTAATTATTTCCAACATTATACAGTCCATAATTTCCTACAAGTTTCCCCTTCTAAAGTTTTTAGTTTGTTTAGCTAAGTTTGTTTCAACCATAAGTTATGTTGCCTCTAATGGCAAACCAGATTAGCATCGATTAGCATCGCTTGATGTCTTTGAGTTGATTTGGTTTTAATAAAAATTTACTGCAGGGCAAAATTAGGGGTTTTTCTTTTTCATTACAGATTTTTATCTGTCCTTAATTTTATTTTGGACTAAATTTTGTCTTCTCTAATATTTTTGACATAAATATAACCTTTTTCTATATGTTTTTCTGGCTTTAGCTAGTCCGTGCTAACATTATTCCATCTTTATGGGACGTCAAGCTTTTTATATATTTATTTTACCAATCTATGTGGATACTTTTTACAGTTTTTATGTAATTCTTTTTCATTACAGTTTGCCTACATTTAATCACTTTTGGTGATTTCTGCTGTAATCGTTTAGCCATAAAATTTACTCTTTTTTTTTACTATTTCAGGACAGACTTTTTTATGCCAACATCTTCTGTATAAATGGTTTTATCTTGTTTTCATCATTATATAAAAAAATACTAAAATTGTGGGCAAACAAACTTTTAGCTGTCTTTGCATGCCTTTATCTCTATATTGGAGGTACGTTTTTGAGGTATTCCTAACTAAGTTCTTGTTGTGTCACTTCCCCCTTGTGTTGTCTAAAATGAAGTGCTGCAGCCATTATGTAAGAATCAGTAAGAGTCTGTTTGGGTGCCTCATGTTTCATCACATTACTAATTGAGCCCAGAAATTGACTCAGTAAATGTGGTAAAATCTAGTCCATCTGTTTAAAACTTAATTATTGTCTCAGGTATCACAGGAGGAACAGTTGGCCCTCTGGTGTTTTACACATTATTGAATCAGGCTCTACTTGAAAAAAAAATTGGATTCAACAGATCTCTGACCAAACTTGAATTGAATTTTGAAAAATACATCGCAGTTTCTTGTT